CATTCTGCTCATATTCTCAAAGCAAAATTTTTCCAATACTGATCTCATCCAGAGGGAAAGAAGAGTAACATTCTCAAATAACAGCCTGAACTTTATATACCTCACCTCGAAAAAACCACAGCTGACAAAGTCCCAGGCCCTTGTTTTCAACTTGCATTGAAATCCTGACTATTTAACATCCAAATCCAGGCATTCAACAATCAATCCAAATACAGTACCTGGCTTCACACAAAAAAGAATAGGAAGCCCAAACCTCTACAACTTTTCCACGTTCAGCCAAATAAAGACTCCTAAAAATCTGATAATGAATTTAACACCACACTTACTCAGGAAGCCACTGCCAGCTTCAGAGGAGCAAATTACTCAGCAAGAAAGAGAACTTGTGAACAGCTAAATTTTGTCAACAGGGGTTTCTTGATTAGCTAAATAAAGTTAACTCCTATATTACCTTTTTCAAAAAACACAATTTTTGAAGTATTTTAAAGACAAAATATTCAAGTAAAACAGAAATGCTGAACACTTTTAAGTACAGCACAATACTCTTGAGGCTTACACCAAAGGTCCCTGACACTTAATTAAAAGAGAGACTATTAGTGTTTAGTTTATTAAGCTTCTGAAGAGACAAAGGATCTTTTCTCCTTGCAGCTGGTTCATGCTAGACAAACTCAAAGAACAAGTTCACCCTGAAACTCATGGCTTAACGAATCACACCCAATTTCTTTCCCCACTCAAGACCTCCTCAGGGCACAGAGGTGACACTGAACTCTCTAAGGCCACGAGAGCAGTACGCAGCCCCAAAGGCATCCAGTATCAGTTCAGCAATAAACTGTCATCCAACAACCCAGCCCAGCAATTGCAGAGAAGCTCAACCTCAGACCTGCCACCAGTTTCTTCAGCCACAGCAACTCACGGAAACCGTCTAAGGTGCGAATTAAGTACCCAAGCCAATGAAATCACAAGACCCTCTGAAGTATAAAACGCTGTTACCTACAACTGGGACTTCAACTCTAAATTTTACATCAAGTCATAGACACTGGTTTAAAAAAATAAAACCAGTGCATTCTCAATATGGCCCAAAGAAAAAAATCATTGTCAGTAGTAGATTCCTTCAGAGCATCAGTTGGGTGTGGCAACAAGGGGATTGAGATCTGAGGGCATGAGTCATAGCCTGCCAAGCAGCTGGTTAGAGAAAGGAGGTGGCAGTTTCTAATATTTATAACAAATTTAGGGCTCTTAATCAGACACTATGAAGATGGCACAGGCTAAAGGTTAGGGAAAATTCAACGACACCCAGGAACCGGGTTTGTGAAACTGAATGCATAGTACAACGCTATGCATTTAGTCCCCTGAGGAACTGAGAAGCAATATAGTGTAATAGAAAGAGCACTGGATGGGAGTCAGGAGTTCTCGGTTCCCTAACCCAGGCTCTGCTGCTCTATGTTAGCTAAGACAAGTTATTTTCCTGTTAGGGGTCTCAGTCTCCTCACCTTTAAAACGAAGAAGTCGGACAATATGTGTTCTAGGACAAAGAAGTGGAAGAGACTTAGCCACCATCTAGCTCAGTGCCCTCATTTGAGAGATGAAGAAGCCGAGAAGAGGCTGATATACCCAAGGTCAACAGATAACCAGTGGCACTGTGACCTAGTTAGGAATGGAACCTAGGTCTCTTAACTCCCACCCCAGAATGTCGTACAACCTTTTTCAGCTCTGAAATGCTATGACATTGGTGGAAGATTACAGGATCTCGAATCTCAAGCTAATCAGGACCTTCAAGGTTATCTAGTCCAATAACCTCATCTATCAGGCGAGGAAGCTCATCAGAGAGATTCCGTGCCTGCTCCGAGGTTGCAGTTTGGATTTTGCTGCTGCTGTTCTTGTTCATGTCTGACTCTTCATGACCCCAGGGACATGGGGTTTCCTTGGCAAAGACACTGAAGCTTGTCATTTCCTTCAACAGTGGATTAAGGTTAAGTAACTTACCCAGCACCACACACAGCTAGTAAGTATCTGAGGCTGAATCTGAACTCAGGTCTTCCTGACTCCAGGCCCAGCTCTCTATCCCTGAGGCACCTAGCTGCCTCCTATGGCTGCAACGCAGGTGCTACGATTCCAAAACAATCTCTCTCCACCAGTGGTGCTACATTCATCAGCATCAGCCAGCTCTTTAGTAAAGGTAGTGGTTGTTGAACAGGACCACAAAGTTCAGAAATCATACTTAACTCCACACCTGTATCCTGTGTAGACCATAAAATGGCTATTGTCTTGAGTAGTGTTTCTGAAAGGAAAACATTCACAAAGATGTAACTGAGATCTCTAAATATAAAGCTACACTCCACAGTAGCTCCTAACCAGCTCCCTTTTCTTCACTGAAGAAGAGCTTTCAAAGTCAGTAAAAGGTACTTCTGTGGTAACCCAGAAACTCATGGCTTAACAAATCACACCCAATTTCTTTCCCACTCAAGACCTCCTCCAAGGCCTCCTCAGGGCACAGAGGTGACACTGAACTCTCCAAGGCCACGAGAGCAGTACGCAGCCCCAAAGGCTCGTTGACATCTCAGGAACCCAGTCAACAAGTTAACAGACCTTAAAAGTTTATTATCAGGAAGAATCTCAATGCTAACCATGTAACTTTAAAAGGAAGGCTATAAGGCTTCTAATTGGGCTGGGCAGTCCCAAGGACAATGGGGATAACTATCTACTATAATACCAAACCAGAGTAATATTAGCTCATATTTAGACAGAGTTTTCATATATATCTTTACAACCCTATGAGACAGACAGGGCAAGGGTTATTTCCATTTTAAGTGAGCAAATTGAGATTCATAAAGGTTATCTACCCAAAGGCACACAACTACAGTGCCTGGCTAAGCTGGTACTCTAACCCAACTCTTCTGGTCACAAGGTCCAGGGGTTGTCTCCTCTATACCAGCCTACCTGTAAGTACTCAGTAAACATCTGTCAAATGTCAATGGTAAAACCAACAAAGTCCCTTTGTCGAGGATGGGGGTGATGGAAACCATTCAGGCTGAAGAGCACCGAGGTCCCTTCCAAATCAGAAACTCTACAATGAATGGCAAGGCTAGGACTTAAAGCTCAATCTCCTAACTCCCAGCATCAGTGTTCTCTCTGCTACATCCCACTGCCTCTCCAGTTCTTTCAAAAACCACTGTGTCCACCTAATTCCCAAAAGCATTAAGACATTTAAGAATCTCATCAAGGAATCATTAAATTACAGAAGCGATTAAGTTTTAAACCTAAACGATCTGGTTAGGCAAAGGATTAACGTGTGACACTGCCCAATGGAAACACTGTCTATTTAGCAGCGGTGAGGTGCCCAAATCACAGCAAGCCATGTGTCTAAGCTTACGGCTCACGTTAGTGACACAAGAAGCTAAAATGAAAGTGAATGAACTTGTGAGTAGTGGCATGAGCCTGAATACAGACTCCGGCCCCATTCCGCCTAACCCAAAGTAAAAGAGAGCAAAGTAAAAAACAGACCAAAGAGAAAATGATACGGCATTAAGCAGAGTTTCAGAGCACCCTTCCTAGGCAAAATATAGGGAAATGAATACACAAACAAGCTACACAGTGCGTCCCGTCATGTGTCATATCATAGGCTAAGAGCTGTAAGGGCTGCTGGAAATTATCTAATCCACACCCTCCTTTTATAGGTTAGGAAACTGAAGCCCAGATCAGGGAAACTCAGTCAAGGTCGCATTACTAGTCTGTAGAAGGGTCAGAACCAGAATTCAAGTCTCCCAAGTCCTCATTCAGTGCTCCTACCACTACACCAATCTTGCTCTATACACCACGGACATCACCCCACCCTAGTCCTACCTTCCACTCCTATGCTGTCCCCAAAGAGCTACAGAGATTCATTTATGACACTTTCTAATGAGAAGATATTTTCTGTTTTCAAAACAAGTTTCCATTAAGAAGGCATAACCTAAGTCTACCTTCCCTTCTTTGGTGTCAAATCTCACTGCAAAGGGGAGAGTGCTAAAGATGCCCAAACAAAGAATGAGATGGGGTAGGTAAGAGGACATGAATGGTTATTTTGTATTAATGAGTAGTTTACTTTTATAATGAACTCAACTCAACCCAGCCAATTCCCTTAACTGATTCTGACATCCTACTATAACTAACCCTACCCATCCACTTTAAGGTTAGAAGGTACCCTTAGAGCTAAATGGACACCGGGCTCACAAAGTCATCTCCAGAAAGAAGTACAAAAACAGCAGAGGCAGCAAAATATAAAACCATTAGAAATCAGCAGTTCACAATGTCAGAGAGGAAAGGGGCCTAAGAACTAACCCAGTTCAACCCTTTCATTTTACGGGGAAAACAGGCCCAGAATAGGGCCATGACTTGCCCAAGGTCACTTCCCCACTGTGCACCTCAGAGCCAGAAGAACCACAACCTAAGTCTTCTGACTTCCAATTCAGAACAATTCTTACTCCAGGCAACCTCCCTCACTAGACAGAACTCATCAGGGGTCATGAATCTGCAGTCACTGATGTTTCTTATGTTACATCATAGGCAAGTTAGGAAGGTCTAAGTTTTCCTTCCTGCTGACTGATAAAGCTGGTGCAAATAATTCATTTTGGCAACAGCAGGAACCCCTCTGAACAGGATAAACAAATCAAATCTTGCTTGGCCCCAGTAACTGGCAGCATGTCATGCAAAATATCTACTGGTGGCTTAGCAGGACATTCTGTGGAAATGCAAACTTACATCAAGTAGACAGACACATGAAAACAGAGCAAGTAGTTCTATGATAAAGCAAACAGAAATGAGTATGGAAGAGGGTGTTAACGATTTACAGGTTTGGGTTATTGATACGTATTTTGCTAATATTACATTCACCAGTTTAACACCCAGTGAGTTGACGTCAGTGAACAGGCAGGTTTCTAACATTTTCTTTAGAATGTGACACTCATTTACTTGCCAGCTCGAAGTTTTTAAAAGTTGAGATCCAGAGCAAACAAGATTGTACTTACTTTTTAACATTCGCCTCCCCATTGGGGATCCTTCGCAACTTTTTCTTTTTGAGGATTTTCACAGCTCTTCGGCACAGGGTTTCAGAGTCCAGCATCTCCTTCACTTTCCCATAGGATCCTTCTCCCAGCAAATCCCCCATCAGGTATTTGCCAATGAGTTTGGCTCTTTTCCGTCTTGGCTGGTAGATGACTTCCGTGGAGTCTATTCGGTGGATAAATGTGTCCATGCCCACAGACATCAGTTCACTTTCTGTAAACATGCCCAACTGCTGTGGTTCTGCCAAATCCATCCTGGATTAAACTCTTTAACCAGGTTTTCTTAGACACACCAGGATCTCTTCATCCAATCTTGAGTTCTTGGTTTTCCCAACTTTTCTTCTCAAAACAAAACAAAAACAAAAAAGAAGAGGAAAAAAAACCCCAACTCTTCCAAAGATTGTACTAACGTTAATTCAATAGTCCCTGAAAAGGGTCTAATGCACCCCAAGTGCCTGGCTCTCAAGCAAAAAATAAAGAACAAAAACCCATCAAAAACTTTTGCTGAGGCACCTGGCTTGTTTTTGACCCGGTCTCACTGCTTTGGCTCAGCCAGGTCTCCTCACTCACTGCTGGCCCTAAAAAGGCCCAGGTTGGGTTCTTAAGTGCTAGGTCATTCTCTAGGACTTTAGACCCTTGGACAAATACAGAAGGAAAGTGAAGTCTTTTCAGGACTTTCCATTACCACTGTGTCATGGCTCCCAAATGCAAACTGGTATCAGCAGTCAGAACGAGCTCACAGGATTTTTGCACCTTGAAACTCAAACTTGACCCCCTTTAAAAATAAAGTGATGGTGGAAATTTGATTGCTTGAGTTTCCTCTACTGAATATCAATCTCTTGTCCCACTCCCTCCACCCCCACAACACACTCACACACACACAAACACACAGGCTCCTCTCCTATATCTGCCAAAAGTTCAAAGCCCTCAACACTTATCAAGGTTTCACAGGGGGCATCCCTTCACCCAGAGTCTTCCAATTTCTCCCACCGTTTCCCTCCCCTACTGCCAGCCCCCAAAGGTCAATGTGAAGACACTGATCCTGGGGAGCCTCCACCAAAGAGCTCCTGGAAAGAGATCAGAGAAGTTTTCCTTCCCACCCACCCGGCTCCAGGGGAAATCCCTCCCTTTAATAAATACACCCGGGAGGAACTGGATGGCAACAAACTAACCCAATCCCCAGTTTTCTCGGTCCCCTCCCCGAAAAAGTGACAGGTAAAGAGGAGTATCCCACTCCTCCCAAAGGGAAAAAAATGGATAAGGAGAGAGGACAAACTAAACCCCTACAAAAGCAGGGGTGCTAAAGGCGACCTACTGACCCTTTTAAAAATAGAAACAAAGAACAAGTTGGGGGCGCGGGGCTGGGGAGGGGAAGAAGTAAACTTAAAAGGAGGGTTCTCACGCCCCCCCCACCTTCCCTTCCCTTTGCTCTCGAGATCTCCAAGCGCTGTCCCTTGCCAGTTCCCCTCTGCACGTCCCGGGAAGGCTCCCGGCGGCCGGGGCTGCGGGGGTCGCCGCTGTTCCCTCGCTCCCTCCGAAGGTAACGGGCGGGGGGCTGGGGGGAAGGGGCTGAGGCCCCGGGGCCCCTGGGCGAGCCGCCCCCTCCCCCCAACCCTCCGAGTCCCGGGCAGCCCGGGACCGGGCCGGGCCGGGGCTCGGCTGCCTCTCCGGACCGGGTTCGGTGAGGGCGGGTCCCACACCACAGGCCGCCGCCGCCGCCGCTCCCCCACAGCCGGGCCCCGCGCGGGGCAGCTCTGAGGAGGCCGGGCGGCCCCGGGCCCATCCAACGCGGCCCAGTCGGCACCGGGCCCGCTGCGCACGCAGACAGCGAAGGAGGCAGGAGGGAGCAGCCGGCGCCCGGGCTCGGTTCCCCCGGCGTCCCAGCCTCACTTCAGAGCGCTCCGGGCGGCCGCCTCCCCCTTCCGCACCCGACACGCCGCCGCCATCTTGTTTACCTCCCTCCCCCCGGCCCTCCTTGGCGCCGCCGCCGCTGCTGCCGCCGCCGCCGTACGCCCCGCCCCCCGCGCGCGCCCGGCCGCCGGCGTGAGCGGCCGTTGGCTGGCGCCGAGGGGCCCCCCACCCTGCTGCCCAGGGCGATTGGACGGTTTGGACCGGAGCAGGGTCCGAAGCAGGGATTGGTTCTCGAAGGGACCCGCCCTAGAGGGTGGAGCGCGATCTCTGATTGGTCGGGGGAGGGACCCATTCTGAGGAGAGGGCGGGGAGCGGCCCACGGAGGGGGAGGATCCGGGATGGACACTCCAAAGAGGGAGGGGGAGGGGGAAGTTAAGTGGAATTGGGGGCGTGGCCAGAAAGCCCAGCTCATAGGGCAGGTAGCTAAAAAGCAGTTCACACAGCCAGTAGTGCACTGTCCTAGAGACGATTTTGTCTAAGCTTCTTATTTTACAGATGGGGAAACTGAGGCCCAGAGAGGGGAAGGGAAGTCATTAGCAGAGCTAGGGCATGAACTTAAGTCCTCTGATTCCAAATCCGTGCTCTTTACACCCACTCACCCCTACGCTACTTCTCACAACCTCTTTTTAAACCCAGAAAGGCTAATCGACTGGCCTATAATTAGATGAACAGCAAACATCATAAACCTTAGGGCAGACCAGTCCAGCCCCGAATTAAACAGATGAGGAGCTGAAATCCAGAAGAGATAAAATGACACGCGCAAGGTCACATCGCTAATCAGTAGCCTCGCTGGGATCTGAACCCAGGTCCCCATACTTCCTCATCCAGCTTTCTTTTATTGTACCACCGCCTTCTGTGGGAATGGGGGTGGCACTGAAGTGGAGAAAGCTCCCTGCTCAGCAGCTTAAGCCTCAACCCACTGGCTGCACTGATGCTCCCAGGCCGGTGCCTGCGGTTCTGGGCTTGCCTTGGGATAAATCCTACTAGGACGGTTGTAAGCCTCTTTTGTTGTTTATGGGGGTTGGGAGACAGTAGCGCCAACGGGCCGTAAGGAGTTAGCACTTGTATCGCAGTGGGGGACAGGGAGAGCCAGGAATGGAGCACTCAGCTGTTCACCTGGGGAGGAGCGAGCCCAGCTGAGCTTCGGTTTAAAGAGGGCCCCGAAGCCCCGCCAGCTCTTCGCTTCCCACCAGCTACACTGCTAGGTGTTGACCGTGCCACCCATCGCCATGCCCAGCTGGGTTCCCTCAGCTATTGTCTCTTCCTTTTCGGCTTCCTTTTGTGTGTCTTCTGCCCATTCGATTGTAAGCACCTTGAGGGCAGGGATTGTTTTATTTGCATTCCCAGTGCCTGGCCCAAAGCAGGTACCTAAACGATGTTTACTGTATTATAGTCCCTAGTACTGTGTTGTGCACAGATTTAGGAAGACTCAGAGAACAGCAGCAGGATTAGGGCTGTAAACAGCTAGGCTGCTCATCTGAATTCTGAGATTTTCTTCCTGCATCCCATCGATTTGTCTTAACAGGCTCTGTGAAGGTGACAAAAGGAATTGGCAGGAAGACAATCCTACCTTTGTCAAAGGGAGCTGCCGGCTGATACAGAAATGTTCAGATGGGCTGTTTGACCCCAAAATACCACTACTAGGTCTGCATCCCAAAGAGATCAAAGAAAAAGGAAAAGGACCTCTATGTACAAAAATATTTATAGCAGCTCTTTTTGTGGTGGCAAAGAATTGGAAACTGAGGGATGCCCATCAATTGAAGCTTACTAGCTGTGTGACCCTAGGCAAGTCACTTCACCTCAGTTGCCTCACCAGAAAAAAAAATAAAAAATAAAGTGCCGATCTAACCATGTCACTCTGCCCCATTCAATAAGCTTTAGTGGCTCCCTGTCGCCTCCAGGATCAAATATAAAATCCTCTGTCTGGCATTCAAAGCCCTTTACACTCTGACCGCTTTCTACCTTTCCAGTTTTCTTATACTTTAATGCCCCTCCACATACTCTGATATCTAAGAACACCAGCCTCCTTGCTTTCACTGGAATAAGACACTCACTGCATCTCCAGACTCCAGGCATTTTTACTGACTATCCCCCAATGCCTGGAATACTCTCCCCTCCTCATCTCCATCTGCTTGCTTCCCTGTCTTCTTTCACATTCCAGTTAATATCTCATTATATACAAGAATGCCAGCTCTTCCCTCTGTTGATTAAATACAAATTATCCTATTGGGATGTTGTTTGTATGGAGTTGTTTTTATGTTGTCCCCTGCATTGGACTGTAAGCTCCCTGAGAGCAGGGACTGTCTTTTGTCTTTCTTTGTCTTCCCAAAGTTTAACACAGTGCCTGTCACATAGCAGCTTCTTCATAAATACTATATGGACTGATAGAAAAGGCTGTCCATTGTGTATCCCATGATTTGTTATTGTTGATCAGTCAGATCTAACTCTCTATGACCCCATTGGGGGTCTTCTTGGCAGAGATACTAGAGAGGTTTGCCAATTCCTTTTCCAGCTCATTTTACAGATGAGGAAACTGAGGCAAACAGAGTGAAGTGACTTGACCAGGTGAAGTCTCTGAGGCCAGATTTGAACTCTGGAAGATGAGTCTTGCTGACTTCAGGCCAGGGACTCTATCCACTGTACCATCTACTGGTCTCCGTTATCCCATGACAGTTTAATAAATGCTTGTTGATTTCACTCATTTGAAACTGCTGTCCCCCAAATCACCAGTGTTCTCTTAATTGCCACTTCTGATGACCTCTTCTCCATCTTCATCCTTCTTTACCTGTCTCTAACTTTTGACACTGTCGACCACCCTCTCCTTCCATACACTCTCTCCGGTCTGTGTTTCAATGACACAGTTCATCTTTCACCTCCTGCTTGTCTGACTGCTCCTTCTTAGTTTCTTTTGTTGATTCATCATCCTTGTCACGCCTACGAGCTGTGGGTATCCCCCAATGCCCTGTCCAGACCCCTTTTCTCTTTATACCTTCTCACCTGGTAACCTCATCAACTCCCATGGGGATGACTCCCGGATCTATACATCCATCCCTACTCTCTCTAAAATCATTCCAATTCCAAATCACAAATTGCCTTGTTGATTTTTCAAATTGGGTGTCCTATAAACATCTTAAACTCAGCACATACAAAGCAGACCTTCTTAGGGCAGCTAAGTGACGCAGTGGACAGACCACCGGCCCTGGAGTCAGGAGGATCTGAGTTCAAATCCAACTTCAGACGCATAACACTTACTAGCTATAAGACCCTGGGTGAGTCACTTAACCCCAACTTCCTTGCCAAACAAACCAACAAACAAAAAATCACAGAACTTCTTGATACTTGTATGATCCTGGGCAAATCACTTAATCTCCCTCCGTCTCAGTTTCCTCAGTGTAAAACAGAAATAATAACACCTCCCTCACAAGGTGTTGTGAGGATAAAATGAGATAATATATGCAAAGCTATATAAATATCACCTGTCATCATTGTCATCCTCGTCATTGTTGTCATAGTCATCATCTTTTTTTCGGTAAGGCAATGGGGTTAAGTGACCTGCCCAGGGTCACACAGCTGGCAAGTGTTTGAGACCAGATTTGAATGCAGGACCAGGAGGTCCTCAAAGGCTGCCACCTAGCTCATCATCACCATCTTTCCCCAAATCTCACCTTTCTCCTGCACTTCCCTATTACCGTCAAGGCCACCACCACCCTGACAGTCACTCAGATTCCCAGCCGTGGTGTCCGCCTTGCCTCCTCCCCAACCCCTTACCCCATGTGTCTGATCAGTTGCCGCACCATCCTATCTCCCCAACATCTCTCCCATCTCTCCCTTCTCTCTGGTAACACAGCCACTACCCTAATTCAGGCCCTCCTCATCACCTCTGCCATACACTGCTGTAATCACTTCCTAATTGGCCTCCCTGCCTCCAATCTGCCCAGCTGGAATCTGTCTTCCACACAGCTGCTGAAGTGGTTTTCCTAAGCTGTAGTAACTCTGACAAGGACATCCCCTCCCTACTACCAATAAACTCCAAAAGTTCCTTATTATTTCGAGGGTCAAATATAAACTATGTGGGCAGCTAAGTGGCGCCATAGTGCGCAGAGTGCCTGGCCTGGAGTCAGAAAGACTCATCCTCCTGAGTTCAAATGTGGCCTCAGACACTTACTAGCTGTGTGACCCTGGGCAAGTCACCTAACCCTCTTTACCTCAGTTTCCTCATCTATAAAATGAGCGGAGAAGGAAATGGCAAACCATTCCAGTATCTATGCCAAGAAAACCCCAAATGGGATCAAGAAGAGTTACTGGACATGACAGAAAAATGACTGAACAATAAACTATGTATCCTGTTTGGCATTTAAAGCTCTTTATAGGCTGGCCCCACCCTACCTTCCCAGCCTTATTGCATGTCCCTCCCTTCCACTTACTCTGTGATCCAGCCCAGGGGTGAGGAACCTATGTCCTTGAGGCCACGTGTGGCCTTTGAGGTCCTTGGGTGCAGCCTTTTGACTAAGTCCAAGTTTACAGAACAAATCCTTCTATTAAGGAGATTTGTTCTCTGAAGTTTGGATTCAGTCAAAAGGCTGCACTTGAGGACCTAGAGGACCACATGTGGCCTCGTGCCTGAGGGTTCCCCACCCCTGGTCTAGCCTTACTGGCCTACAAATGATTTGCTGTCTGCTGTCTCTGGGGGTTTGCATCAGCTGTCCTCAATGCCTGGATCGTTCCGCCTTCTTACCTGTGCCTCTTAGACTCTCTAGTTTCCTTCAAAACACAGCTGGAGCTTTGCCTGCTACAGGAAGCCTGTCCTCACTGTATCCCCCAGCCCCAAAGCTACTATTCGCCTTCCTTCCAAAACAATAATTATTTCATTTAATCTTCACCACAGCCCTAGGAGGTAGGTGCTATTATTGCTCAGTCAGATCCAACTCTTTGTGACCCCATTGGGGTCTTCTTGGCAGAGATACTAGAGAGGTTTGCCAATTCCTTTTCCAGTTCATTTTACAGAGGCAAATAGCTGTGAAGTGATTTGCCCAAGGTC